CTAATGATTACATGGTATTGAGACTAAAAAAGCAACTGTTGGAAAAATGTATCACGAGCGGTCGTTCTGTGGTTCTTTATTTGACAATTGAGGAGAGAAAGTATCATCTTGAATCTTTATCTATATATTTCTATACGTTTTAGGTGAAGAACGACGTTGTCCTGTGGTTGAAATAATGATAGTGATCTTAAATAAAAATGTACCGAGTTTCACATCCTAAAGCTTTACAGAACACTTTATATTTCAATTTTATCATATCCCTCAAGGCCCAGCTTCTAACAGGAGCAATGCAGCAAAGACCCCGCTGAAAACATGAGGACGCCCCGCTGAAAACATGAGGAGGTCCCGCTGAAAACAGGAGCAAGTGTCTCTTCAAAATGGAGTGAATCCTGATTATACCGTGAAAATCTCCCACTATCGTACCCAGCTTGATCCACTATTGTACCCAGTTTCATGAATACATCATTTGTTGATACAATTCTCAAAAACAGCAAATACTGTATTGATATAGTACATATTATGATAGGTCGTAATGGAAAAACTGCAGTATGATCTTCGTTGCCATTTCCGGAATAAAATAGGTCATCTAAGAAATGTGATGAGTGTTAGATCGATGAAATGTTAAAAGTTTAACCTCATTTTCATAATAAGATGTATAAATAAATGTTGTTGATTTTACGCATCAAATCTAATCAACCCAACTGTTTGAAAAGTAAGTGAAATTCCATCATATATGAGTACAAGTCGATATTCAGTAAGATTCACGCGCACGCGTAAGCTAAAACGATTAAGTCAGAAAAATGTTCAGTAATACTATTTTTGTCTCAATCTCCTGTTGCCAGCTTGCATACTCACTAACTCACGAACTCATCCCTTATCAGAAATAAACGAATGAACGAACGCAAAAAGAATTTACGAACAAAAAACGAACGAACCCTCGCACCGACGCACGCATGAACGAACGGACGCACGCACGAACGAACGCACACACGAATTAATCCACGAATGAACGGTCGGACGAACGTACCCATGCACGAACGGTCGGAAGAATGCATAAACCGACGGCTAGACAAATGCGCGCAAAATCGACCACACGAACGGACGGACGAAAGCAAGCACGTACGAACGAACGGTCGAACGAACGCAAGCACGCACGAACGAACGGACGGTCGGACGAACAAACGCACGAATGAACGAATGGACGGTCGGATGGACACTGCCTCGCACGGACGGTTTGACGATCGCACGAACGGATGGTTTGACGATCGCACGAACGGAAGATCTGACGAATGCACGCACGAACGAACAAACAGTCAGGCGAACGCACGCATGACTGAACGAATTTCAGACGAACGCACCCACGAACGAACGGAAGGTCGGACGAACGCACGCACGAACGGACGATCGGACGAATGCATTCACGAACGAACGAACGGTCGGGCGAACGCGCACACGAATGAACGGTCGGAAAAACAAACAAGCCAATGAAATATATGTGTTCTCGGAAGTATACTCCATTGAATGATGAAGAATTTACATTAAACTGTACGAATGTACAAAGTCTATTTTTACACATTTAAGAATTTTATGACGACGCTGACAGATTGATCAAACTGCTCAATTGATCAAAGTTGCAGAAGATATATTTGCGATGTTGCCATAGAATGATGTTATGTGATTGTTATTAATTTGTTTTTGGCACGTTCTTTTACGTTCATATAAAGAAACTCAATATCTTCATGGAATAATAATGAAGCTTTCCTCGTGATTGAAGCGGGACCTCCTCATGTTTTCAGCGGGGCCTCCTCATTTTTTCAGCGGGGCCACTGAAACGCCTTTTATGATGTATTTCGACCCCCATAGCAGACGTAATTGTACAGTTACTTATCAATACAGATCATATTGATCCGATATGTATTATAGAGTATGCAAATCGTATTCATTGCGTTTATTTTAACGATAAACGTAATATATGAACAGTCAATTATACAAAAGTGCATGTTGACGCCCTTTTCTGCCATGCCAGTGAAAAAGAATCAATTTCATGTCATTGTTTGTCAAATATATCTGTTTTTAAAGTATTGCTTGAGTATCAAAGAATGGTTATAAGTATTTTCATCCTTTTGGTCCATTTTCCAAAGTGATACAAATAAACAGGACTATGCTCGCGATTTCAGCGGGAACTTGCTCGCGACTTTGAAATCATAGCGAGGCTTTGGATACTACCCGTGATATTGATGCCGAATACAAAGCCCGCTGACTATTCTAAAGACATTCAAAATGGCTGCCATGACTGAGCCGTCCAAAACCTAATAAGATGTAGAATGAGAAGTGAGTTAAAGAAAATGTTAAAGTTTCAACGTAACTGTGAAGCCGTTTTTCTAAAAGTTTGCCGACAAAGATTTTAGCATTTGACTTCAAAATGGCCGACAGGAAGTAGGCATCGAGTCAAATATCTACCGCATCCGTATCACCCCATGCAGACAGATCGCCTAAAATTACATTCGTATGATGGAAGACCCGACATTCAACAGGAAACTAGAAACATTTTGTCACCAATGTAGCAATATCTTTACTGCTTAATAAATGGTGAATGACAGTCACATTAAGTTCTACAAGTATGAGGATAGCATTACGTTCTGACATTTCAAGGTAACTCGTTTGATAAATAATGGCGGTTATTGAAATAACGATATAAAGATAAAACCGCAACGGAATATTTGTAGATTTCTTTGTAAAACTAAGACATCGTATTATAATCTCATATAGAAAAAATAAAGAAAAATGTATAAAAAGTGAGGCCCGCCTGTAGGTCCAATTCTCCCTGAGTGGTAGCATTACCATTTGTCTCGCATGTCATACAATCAATGAATATTTGAAACACAACTATTATTCGAACTTATGATCGGACATAAGTATGATGTGTACTTCAAGTTAATAAAGTAACATCATACTTATGTCCGATAGGGGTTCGCAAGACAGAAACAGATATACGATTCATTGTTCGTGCGAAAATAGTCATCTTTCTAAGAGTAAGGTTCTTCCTGGCCATTGGTTTGTTGATCTTTCAGAAAATGGGTTGTTGCCGGCCGGGTGTTTGTTTCATAAAGAAAGGGGATTCATGACAAATGGGAGTTCGCATGAAACCCATAAACCACCTCTCACTATGCCCATTGCCCATGCATCTAGAGATGTAAATGTGAACAATATCTTTGAATTGATCACTCCAAAGATAAAATTCTGGAGATTGGGGTGATTTTTCCACATTTGGAGCATGTTATTTTATAATGGCCATAAAATCGTGACCATAGACAGTAGACTGTTGTTTCAACTATTTGTTTAAAATTAACTCGTCAAAAAGAACTTTATCTGAATAGAGCCAGGGTAGATTTAATTTTAAAAGCTCAGCTCAAAGCCCACAATTGGAGCTCAGTTGAGTCATCAAATTGTTTATGTGGTTCCCCTGAAACTTTTCCCCACTTCTTTTTCAAATGCCCTCTGAAAGAACAACAAAGAAATAAATTAATAACAGATACTTTAGGGATATATGGGGACTTATTAACTCATTTCGTAACTCAGCCAGACAAAATTCATTTTTTTCTTTTTGGGGATCCATCATTAACCCAATTAGAAATGGATAATCTATTTTCACTGGTTGCGAATTATCTCATTGAAAACACAACCAGAATCTAAATATTTTCCTGCCTATGACCGGTTTCCATTTTCAACATACTACCCCCCAGGATATCAGCAGCCCTCCTATCTTTTGTTTCATTGCAAGGCATTCTACCATTTACAGGTGACATCCAGGTTAAGATGAATATTGTACTTTATTGTTTATTTATATAAGGGGACATTTAATGCTTACAGCGCTTTGCCCCTTGTAATTGTATCTAAATGACTTGTGCTTACAACAAATATAAAAGATGATAAAAAATAGACAGTAGACTGATAGAATTTAGTAGAATGAAAGAACATTGAATAAGGTTTAATTTTACCAAATATGAGTTCAAATCCATGCCCCCCATAGAGGACAAATCTGGCGACCCCATCTCGTGGACCTGCACGACTAGGGCCATGCTTCTCAAGTCCGTCACCCAATTAAAGCTAATTTACAGCGTCTTACTTCGTCAGCCCTCGAAAGTGATATTGAATCAGCAAGTAGCTTGTATATTAAAAGTAAGACCAATTCAGACGAATATACAACATCTTCGACCTACCTGGTTAGCTTAACCTCGATAACGATTGTTGAATCTGCAAGTAAGTTTTAATTAGAAATCATAACATTTGGGTCGCCTAAAAGTACATATAGGAACCTTCAATATTTAGAATTGACATATTTATTGATACACGGTGGTGTTGAGCAAGTAAAACGATATATAATCCGTAACAAGGCATTAACATGACAAAATGTCACCACTTCGTTGCTCAAATCTTGAATTAAATGTCAGATTTGAACTTCTGAGAAATTTTAGCTATAATATATTTTGTCAATTGGAAGCATGTTATAAAAATACCTATTTGGCATTTTATGACCTTGAAAAGGTCATTGAATGTCAAATATCAAATCTAATGTCAGATTTGAACTTCTAAGAACTTGTAGATGATTTAGGGAAAAATTGAAGTCAGTCTAAACAGTATTATTAAGTTATTGAAAGTTGTAAGGAGTTTGTTACAGTCGCCAACCGCCAACAACCAACCGCGCCGGCACCCGCCGGACGCCAACCGCCGTCACAAAAACGGAGACCATATGAATATGTCACCACTTTTTGGTTGTGACATAAAAACTATGTACTTCAAACGATTGACACTTATTTTTTGCTGGGTGTGAACTGACGTCGATCATTTATATAACTAAAGTAGCTTATACGGTCAGTTTGACATTCCGATCATAAAAATGACTAGAGTAAGTCAGTTTGACACAGTTACCTATTTCTTGATGATGTATAAAAAGATTCACGCCCATTCTCGCATTCCGAACTGCCCACTGGTGATCGACCATGCAGACTTTAGTGATGATCGTTTTCATGTTAGGGATCTCCCAAGCGCAGACTGACTGGCCACAGATAAAAGAAAAAATAGATACATTTGTAAATGAACTCCTTGAATGCAATGGATTGATCGGGATGAATCTGGCAATTGTCAAAGACGGCGAAACTCAGTACACGACAGGCTACGGCTTCGCAGACTTGGAAAATCAGGTTCCTAATGATGGCGAGACGATACATCTGGTTCAATCCATCAGCAAGTCAATCGCTGTGACGCTATTTGCCACGTTGGTAGAAGAGACGGGGTAAGAACAAATCTTTTCAAAAATACTCATGGAGACTTTTTTTACTTCTTTACTGGATCCATTTTCTAACATTGAGGGAATTTCCAAAAGAGATCGTTAAGAGGCCCAAATTGGATTAAAAAGTTATCAAAAATCTTAAATGTTGACTCTCTCTATTATGGATTTAATGATGTTAGATAGCAATGGTTTCAATCGTCGGAACATTCCCTAGCTTTACATTAAGTGATGCAACTACCTTGAATCAAAGTGTGTTGGAATAATTAAATTTATGATTTTAGCTTGAAGTGATTATTTTCTACAAACTTATTAAATTGATATATGTACTCACGTTTTTTTATTTCTAAACTTCGAGAGATGATTTCGTATCATTGCAATGAAGCAATATAATTTAAACTCAGTTTTCTAAAGAAAATCTCAAAAGAAAGTTCATAAGATGTCATTTATTCAATGGAATCAGCAGAACAACAAATGGAACCTATGAAAAATATTCATTACATTACTCAATACATTCTGTAATTTCTGAGTTTAATTACAATTTGTTTTGATTTCATGAGACATTCACGCATGAACACGGTGCCTCAGCAGATGATAAACATGACGTCATTTTTTGATGTAAACACTTAGGCCTAAGTTTTTTGGTATATATAAAATAAATGTTTCTGAAGTTGAAGCAAAAATAATCCAAGCTAAATTATCGATGGGTTAAGAGTTACCCTAGTCAGTTCTTTATTTTCATGTTAAAAACCACGATATGAAATTAAATACATTTATTCACGGTTTGCATTTTAAGATTACCCCGTATATTAGATATCAAAAGCATTAACAATAAGGTATTAAACTAGTGCTATTTTATTCGTAGAATATCGTGGGACTCGTTGATCACAGATCTGTTGCCGACCTTTCGATTCCGAGATGAGGTGAGGAACAAGGCAATAAAGTTGCGAGATTTGCTTGGTCATGTGACTGGCTTTCCCGAGATTTTGAACGGGCCTTCCGGTACAAAGGAAGAGTTTATCGAGTAAGTTTGATTTATCTTGTTATCTTCATTCTGTCATTACGATAGTTCTGCAAATTATTACTATCGTATGACTTTGATTTATTTAAATGGTCAAAAATAAACAGGCTTCACTCGTGATCCAGATAGGGACCCCCGTTGCAAAATCCATGGAGGTGGTGTAATTTTAATATTCATAGACATACACGATTCATTAATGAGTTTATATTATGAGTTTAAAAGGTAAAGGATCAATTAATTTGATACACATTAGTAGATTTTATATACTTTATCCTAATACTTTAAACAATAACCACGTTTAAATCAATTGATCTTTCAACAGTTTTCAAAAGATAAGCTATTACGTCAACTCCGTCGATTTGTTATAACCTCTGCGTTGATTTTTAGGGTGGTCCAATGCAGTGAACCAGTGATGACGCTGCGTGAAAGTTTCTGCTATGTAGACAAAAATTATTTCCTTGCTGGTGTGATACTTGAATATCTAACGGGTAAACCTTATTCACAGTTAGTGAATGAACGCATCTATGGCCCATTGAAGATGAACTCGTCATTTCCAACCTACGCTGGCATGAATGATGACTCCCTTGGCAAATGGGCCTATTCTTATTATTTAAAAGATGGGGAGGTTACTCGCATTATAGAATCTGAAGGCGGCGATAATGACTTATTGTAAGCATATTTTTGTTTAACATTACTGCACTAAGGCAAACGGTTTCATCCTGCATTATTATTAACAGCAAATTATCAAAATTTAAATTATTTCCACAATGATGTATCATATATTACTGTAAAATGAGAAATAAACATTTCATTTTTATTTGTGTATAGGTTTTGGCCCAACCTGTATATAAATCAAATGTTTAGTTATTAGTATCATGGGCATTGGACACTAAGTTAGCAAAAGGGTTAGTTAAGGTCCTCGGTCTATATTTTCTCTTTACCACTGCTGCCACTTGTTGTGGACCTCCATATGGTTGACAGGACAAGAGATTTAATATATTACCGGCCTCATCTATTTATAACCTAACTTATTTGCAGTGAGTTAACAGCGCCAGCATATGGAGCTATGGCAACGGCTGAGGATATGGCGGAATATATGAAGTTTCATCTCGGGGCGTATAGAAACGATGGATCCACCAATCCAGTTGTAGATCCAGAAATATTGAGGGAAATGTACAAATCAAACCAAGCCATCAACTTTTTCACATCGTTCCTTGAGATTGACGGTCTCGAGGATTTCCAAGAAACGTGGAGAATATATGACTATGGCATGGGATTTTGGATTGGCAATTATAGAGGTGAGTAAAGTAGGAAGTTTTAATATTCCTTTTTCACACGTGGTTGGGTTGAGTGTTTTGTTCAATATTGTATTCAATTTTGAACAAAATACTCAATCGGCCGGGCGCCGTAGAGAAAATTGGAGCAATTAAATGTGACCAAGGCATTACCAGATTAAGTATAAAGCAATAAGAAAAATAGTTGTTAGATCCTGAAAATGTGTAGTTGAACATTCCTATTGTTTCATTTCAGACACTGATCTAATACAACACGGTGGTTACTCGAACCAAAATACCCTTCTGACGATGTTCGAATACTGGAACATTGGCATCTATACAACGATAAATGGACCAATAAGACTCAAGGCACATGCTGCGATGACATTGATTCATTTTTATATTGCAGACATCCTTCGGGGCAATTCTCCCCTCTATGATATCAAATACGCTTGTACATACACTCTTCCTGATAAATACGGTGCATTCTGCGGGCCTTTCAACACATATCCCGATTATACCATCGACAAATCAAAAAACTCAAGCTCTCCCATTGAAACCTACATTGGAACATATGGTAAAGGAGACGAAGAAGTCGAAATTGAAGTTGATCCTGTTACCCCTTACTTAGTGATGACGAAGGGTTGTGAAAAGTACAACCTCTATCCGGGCGGTGTGGCTAACTCCTTTGTTGCCGAATCAAAAGGGGAATGTTTTGGTTGTGCTAAAAGTATTGTATTTTCAAGCTTATCATCGCTTGAGGGTTTCTCAAGTCTGAGTATAGATGGCGTTATTTTTCGAAACTCAAAGATAAGTTCTGAGAGAGAATGCGATTAATCATGGAAGAACACTCATGCCCCCCCCCCCAACCAGAGATGACCAGGTGGAATTCCGATTTCTTTAGGGTTAGGGTTCACGATAATGGTTGGAATATGTTCGGGCCTGTCCGGTCATCTTCGGTTGCGGACTAAAACTTGTTACCAGATTAATCAAAGGCATTTGTTGAGGGAAAAATGGCAGTGTAGTAAAAAGGAATTAATAGATAGACTGCCAAGGCACTTTCGTGAGCCCATTTTCTATATCTTTGTGCTTCCTTATTGCTTTAAGTAATATGTAATCATCTGTAGGAATCGTCGAAAATGATCATATGTAAAATGATTGGACGCAATTGTAATTGATCAATTGAAACAATATATCGGGTGTTCCAAAAAGTGACTCCACTTTTTGACAAATATTTTCTCAGCAATTGATAAACTGAATTCAATGAAAATGTGTACAAATCACCCTAAGAATATCATTAGCAAGCTGTAAAAATAATTAATAATTATAAGTGACTTAAATTACGTTGATATATTGGTTAATTTGATATGCTGTTTTTAATTCCACCATTCTTACATGATATGTAACCAATGTCTTACATATTCATTATATTTGCTCAGGATACCCTGTGAAGTCTTAAGTAAAGTTTTAAAATAATTTGACAAATACATAGTGTGTCAAAAAATTTTGCAACTTTGTTAAAGGCTAGGAAAAACTCAATGAGGTATTGACATAAAAAAAAGTATATACAGAAACTCGAGATGCATATTTTATATTTACCATTCAAATATTAAGCTCATACTGACTTCAATTTTTGCCAGATCTTTGAATATCAATGGTGAATTGTTCTTGTGTCCGAGATTTACAGTTTTCCCAGAAATTGTAACCTTCTATGATTTTATGTTATCAACAATAACACATTCATTATGCTTTCTATATCTGCTACATTTTTTGATAACTGTATTATCAATGTCTAATACAGGTCTATACCAGTACCTAGTCACTATGGTGTCATGTTATATTGTTTATTAATTATTTATTAAACAGATGTTCTATGCATTCGCATTTTACCTTCGCTCCAAGCCATCAGGCAAAATTCACTTTGGAATATCTGGAGGAGAATGCCCCTCGATTCATTAGACCTGATTAATGGCCACCCAATACACCAGATACCAACCCCTTTGATGATCATGCATGGGGGATCTGGAGCAGCTTATTGCAGTTAATGGTAATCCACCACAAACTATTGATCGCCTAAAAGAAGTTCTGCAGGATTCGTTGGATAAATGATAATAAATGATAAATACAGGGTGACCCCAAAATGCAACCCTCCATTTCTTTAATATTTTTCTTAAATGGAGGTTAATTGCTCTGACATTTGGCACACAAAGACTTCATTCGATGTTGAATCCTCTGGCAAAGTTTAAATAATGATAGTCTTATATTGATAGAGTTGTGGTTGTTTCAAAATATTCTTCAGATGTCGTCAATTTCGCTGAAAACAAACTTGCAATGTTCAAGCAAAACTGTTCATAACACGGATGCATTCTTCCCCATGGGTATGACTCACATTTTTGCAGCCATTGCTTGTTGGAATTCTGCAATTGTGGTAGGGTTATTTTCATACACATTATCCTTTAAATAAACCTATAAATAGAAGTCAGGGGTATTGAGATCAGGACTGTGGGATGACCATTGGTTCTCCGTTCTAGGAGAGATAATCTTCTCATAGAAATGACTAGTGAGCCAGGCTATGCTATCATTAGAAGTGTGAGGAGTAGCTCCATCCTTCTAGAGCCACTATTCCTGTCTATTGAAGCCTCTATGACTCTCTAGAACTGACCAGAACTTCCCGGGAACCCCATTATCACCCTCAAACCAAAAGGGTCTGATGATTTCATGTTTGGAAATTGCAGCCCAAGCTGTGCATTTAACAGAATGAAGGGGCCTTTGAAGCACTTCATCTGGAATTTGTGATCCCAGAACACATTGTTTCTTGAGTTTACATGTTAAGAAAGAAGGAAATGTGATTCATCCGAAAACCTAACATTGGAAATGGACGACATTTGGAGCATATTTTGGAATGACCATAACTCTATCAATATAAGGCTATGATTATTAAAACTTTGCCAGAGGATCCAACATTGAATGAAGTCTGCCAAATTTCAAAGCAATCAACATTCACTTAAGAAAAATATTGAGGAAATGGAGGGTTGGATTTTTTGGGTCACCCTTATACGATAGTGATTAGATATAAACCTGTTCTAGACATTTGTTACACAGTTATCAACGATTGTGGCAGAATTAGCAAACATTATGAATGTGTTATTGTTGATCACATAACATTCTAGGAAAAACAGTAAATATCGGACATATGAACAATTCACCATTGACATTCAAATATCTGAGAAAAAATTGAAGTCAGTATGAGCTTAAATATTTCAATGGTAAATTATGCCTCTCCTCAAGTTTCTGTAAATAAAGGATAAGTATCGATATGGTAAACTGAATTCAATAAAATGTTTTTCTCTTAAACCAATTATTGAAAACATTCTGTAACGGTCCTTTATGTAATGTTGACCGATTGGCAACAATTTAATGCAAAAAAATTATTTATATATATTTTATATAACTGTTTTTGTTAACATTTTTCGTTTTTAGTGCAATTGTTTTTTGTTCCTTTCTACCAATTCTTGAGAAAGAAACAAAATGTCTTTCCGAACCTTGTTGGAACAAAATAGCATAAACAACATTTTCTTAGACCTCTCAATATTATAGTTATACAAAGGAAATTTTGGTTGATTTTATATAAAGTATGCAAAAACTTAAAACAAAACCCCCCGAAATAGATGAAAATTTAGATAACCCTTTTATTTCATTGAGATAAACCTTTTATTTCATTAACAAGATTAAGATCAACCAAACTTTCCTTTGTACAATTACAATATTGAGAGACCTAAACACGTTGTGTTTATGTCGTTTTGTTCCAACGAGGTTCGGATAGATGTGTCATTTTATTCCGAACATATGATACCAAGAACAAAAGAAGTGTCTTATGTGTTTTCTAAAACAATATAGAGAAAAATATATAAATATATTTCAAATTATAATGTTACCATCCAAAAGATGATCATTAAATTGACGATGTGTAAAATTTTCAGAATGTGTTTATGACTGGTTTAAGAGAAACGCGTGTTCAAAAAGTTCACCATATCGATACCACTTCTCATCTTGGATTTCCAAGTATGATGTTTTTTGACTGAAAATCAAACTGCGAAACGAGTATGACCACTCCGATCCTTTTATGTCAATACCTCAATGTTATGATACTTTCCTAGTCTTTTAAAAAGTTGCAACATTTTTTGGCACTCCCTGTATATCGCTGAGGAATTACTTATCAAATTGCTTCCATTGTATGATACAGACGCTACGAAGTTATCATTGCGTTGCTCCGGTATTAGGGATTTCTGACATGTTAGCTTACATTTCTTAATACTCACAAAATATTTACTTGATCTTTTCCATATTTGCATAACTTTCTTAGAGTACTCCTTGGCTACTTTGTACACATTTTCAATGAATTTGATCGATCAATTGCTGAAACAACAATTGCCAAAAAGTGGCTCACTTTTGGACGGACACCCGATATACTATACATTATAGAGGTTTATGAAGGAGTCTAAAGGGAGATGTACAGGGTGGGCCAAAAAACGCCACTTTTTTCAAGACACTATAACTTTTTTATTTTCCAACCTACATACCCCAAATTTTGCAGTTGTATAATGCCAAGGGTTCTTAGTAATAATTTAATGTAACGAGTCCTTCAACTGGGATTATATTTGATCTAAAAGAGGAGTTCAATTGGTCCGCCACCCTATTTGATGATAGATTTTAGTTTTAGTCGCCTTGCTGATATAGCAGTATCAATGAAATGTTAGCTAAATTTTTTTCAACATTTCTAAATTGCCAGCTTTAGTTGAGCAATTTTTTAGATTGGGTGCCTTCATACCATCTCCTGGAGACCTTCCCATACCCTATACTCACTGGGGTTTGCATAAGGGCTATAAGCTTGGCGGTCATCAGGCCGTATCAGTTCAGTACATTTTGCAAATTATGCTTATTTCTCATGGCGCACCACATGTTTAAGTGAGACGTTCGTGACATATTTTATTCAAGTAAAAGTGTATAATTCATGATCCATGGCTAGATAACAACCTCAAGTTTCATTTGCTATGCAAATTATGATTTTGTATCAAAAATTAAAAAAGATATAGCATTTTGAAAAAAGTGGCGTTTTTATGGCCCACCCTGTTATCTAATTCGAACATGACTGTATTCGTGTACTCCTTCGGTCGTTCAGGGTACAGAAAATGTTTGTGCCCAGGCCTGCGGTATTTATTGGTCGATATAATACCTACTAGTCGGTCTATATTTCTTAATTAAGGAACATGTTGTGAGCAAAGGTGTTGGCTGATTTTTGAAAATGAATCATAGATTGCAGAAAATTAATGTTTAAAATATCAACAGTTACAGTACATCTTGCAGATAAAAGATCATTATCTTTGCATACAACCAAAATCCGATATATTTGTATGTAAACAAACGATACATTATTACATTACAATGTAACAATTATATAATAGTACTAGTATAACATTACGGTGTTTTGTTGGTTGAACTTGAATCATTTCACAAAAGGTGCAAGTGTATATGGCACAATTATAGGGCTGTCCCAAACGTCCATATGATGATGCCTCAGACAATTGCTGATGCATAATTACATCGGTATCACCTATCTAGTTCAGGAGATCTTGCCTAGATCAATGGTCTCCTTTTCCTCTGTCACCCTGTATAAAATTAAGAGTATATATATAGATTGATTACCACTAAGGGAGCATTTCAAAAGATCGATGTTGAAAGTTACTATATTGGAACATATATGGGGGAGGGGGTCATTAGCCTTACAAGTTAATTTTCCGACATCGGTCCCGGGAATTCTATTTGACTCAAATTTTGTCGGATATAAACTTAGGTTTCTTGGAATACTTATGTGAAATTGACTGTATTACATATTATTTGAGATCTCGTGTGACTAGTCAGACCGAACACAATGACACATTTCAACCATTTTTCAAACACAGTTATAAGGGGAGAGGGATGGGGTCATAGATTAACAGTTCAAAGTTAGTAATCCTACCTTTACATTGAATTTTTGAGATGTTCCCTAACGTTAATGATATCGATGCGGTAATTTGCAACTTGATATAACAAATAAACTTTGCATTACGTAATCGGGGCTGGCACGTCACTGAATTTGAAAAGGGGTGCGTTGGAAAATCTCCGTTATACAAATACTAAAACTGGATTTCCTACTAGTCTGTATGCTGACTATTGAAATATTCGTAGGTTTATGGTTAATTGATATTCCTTTTACAAAAATTACGACATTGCCGTAACATTAGATACATATTACATAACATGTTGTTTATACTGTTCTATACTTTGTTTTACTGACTGGATGCTGAAGGTGGAATTGGACACATTTTCTTTAATTTGAAGTTTAGCCTTCACGAACGAAACGGATATTCCTTTTGATTCTAGTTACTTTCTCGAACTCAAAGGGAATTTTGCTCGTAAAAGTATCATCATTCATCATCTTATAAATAGATATAGGTTGTCCCACCTTGTGTATATTTATAGGATATCCTATGTTTTTGAGGAATATCATTTTTATCTACGAGGTGATATTGATATCTGCACGAGAGAGCAAAGCGAGTGAGTGCATATATCAATATCACCGAGTAGATTAAAATGATATTCTGAAAAAAAATCATAGGATGTTCTTATTATCCTACACTTACAAGGAGTGTACTAAATGTATAATATCATTGCAAAATGAATTTCATGCCAAATAGAGTCAATTTGGCGGGAAATCAACAAGCGGAGTATATCGTCACAATATTCTCCACATATTGGGTTTTCCGGAGTATATCGTCACGATATCCTCCGCCCGGAGTATATCATCACAATATCCTCCGGTTATTCATTTTGCTAATAAATATCAAATTTATTTTTCAATGTTATTATACATTTAGTACACTAAGTGTAGGATAATCACTTTTATCCTTGCTGTTTTCGGTCTTCCACTAACTATATATTATATAGGCCTCTTTTTAAAACTTACCTAGTTTTTCGAATCTTTGCCAAAATTTTACTTACCGTTGACTTCCCCCGTTTTTATAATACAGTTGAATATATTTCTTTGACTTTGAACAATCAGCAGACAATTCACCATTAGACTAAAAGTCTTAACATCATTTCTTTGTGAATTATGCCCGGAAAGGAACTCCATAGTCTCATTGTTAGGTAAGGTCTGGTCACCATTATGTTCCATAAAAAGGGTAAAAGGAAAACGTTTTCAACAGTGTGAACTGTTGTTAAGGTTATCCACACACAATATTCCAATTGTATTGAATATCTAAATATTTTCCTTAATACAACGGACCATCTGAGAAAAGTCTTAGTAATTACAAAAACAAGGCATTAACATGACAATATGTCACCACCTACTGCAATTGCTTATACAATAATATGAGTTCAATCTTAAGTCAGATTTGAATTTCTGAGAACTTGCAGATGATTCTGAAAATATAAATTGGTCAATTTGGTCAAGTTGAAAAATATTTGTTGACCCTGAGAAGGTCATTGAAGGTAGAATCTGAAATCTAAAGGTAGATTTGAACTTCTGAGAATTTGTAGATGATTTTGGAAAAAGTGGTCAATTTGAGGCAAGATAAAAAATACTTTTGTTGACCTTGAGAAGGTCATTGAAGGTCAAATATTTTTTGGCCTTTAGAATGTCATTGAAGGTCAAATCTACAGTGCGTATCAAAAAAAACGAAACAGATTGTTATCTCGGAAACGCACAAAACCAGTAATAACAGCATTGATTTCATTCAATGCACCATCAAACCATGTGTCTCCTCTTTACAATGATATATCATTCATTGATATTTGGTCATGGTTGGGCGAGTAATCACTTCATTTGCAAAATTAGCTTGGGACCAAGTTATAAACATCGCAAAAGACAGTGTACGGAGCCTGATGCAATATTGGAAGAAAACATAAAACCAATGCTGACTGCATCCTTTTCATTCAATGTACCAAAAAGCCAAATTACTCCTCTTTGCAATGGAATATCAATCATTCACAGGGAGTCATGACTGGTCGAATAATCATTAATTTAGCAAAGTGGGACAAAATTCAGCTCGGACCCAAGTTTTCAACATTGCAAAAGTCAGTACAAGGGGCATAGGGGCTATTGGAAGAAGGTGTGACAGGTTTGGCATAGACAGTAAAGTGTTCATACTCACACTCTTGGAAGCATTCATCCTATACCCCTCCAGATTGCCACCACTTCCTTACACATAAAGATGCGCTCATCTGTCCACGTCATGCATGGTTCAGCCCTGAGTCATCTGTGGTTAAAGCAGAGAAAAGCAGCCCATGGGCAATTCTTTCTCGATGTTTTGCAATATCTGGTGGAGGAATTGTGAGCACAGATGCTCCTGAGATAGCTCCAAAAGAAAAAGTCACAACAATTCAAGTCAGGGGAACTTCCATTGGCACCTAGCCCTTGCACTGATTTTTGCAATATCTAAAACTTGGTCCAGAGCCGATTTTGACCCACTGTTTAAATGGAAGGACTTCTCACCCAACCATTACCACATGTGAATGAATGACATATCATTGCAAAGAGGAGAAACGTGGCTTTATGGTACATTGAATGAAATTGATGACTAGTTTTGTGATTTTACGAAGTAACTACTTGTTGCGTTTTTTTGATACGCCCTGTATAGTCAGATTTGATCTGTTGAGATCTTGGAAATGATTTTGAAAGAAAAAATTGGTCAATTCGAAGCAAGTTGAAAAAATACCGTTTTGACCTTTTCTGGCCTTATGAAGGTCATTGGAGGTCAAATCTTAAATATAAAGTCAGATTTGAACTTCTGTAAACATGTTGATGATTTAAAAAAAAAATTGATGTCAGTCTATACAGTATTTGTTAAGTTATTGGAAGTTGTAAGAATTTGTTACGGACGCCGATCGCCAACCACCAACCGCTATACCAACAACTTTTCGGTGGTGACATAATAATGTGATCTCCTCCCGGGATCTCCGAAACGAAAACCTGGCGATCCCATCCTGTTGACGAGCACGACAAGAGCACATGCATCTCCAGCCATGACCCAATTCGCTAATTTACGACGTCTTCGTACCTCAAAAACAATATTATTCAATCTGCAAGTACAAAACGCTTATAAATAATTTTTGAACCTGCACGTAACATGTATACACTCCCCTCCATAATTTTGGCAACCTTTGTTCCCCCATTGAAGTACGTTTTAAAGCCTATTTACCTTTGAATTTTTATTTACTTAACTTGCAGAAAAAATACTTATACTATTGAAGGAAACGTAATTTGACTTTATTTCCAATACCTCCAAATTTTCTCTATTGTTTTCCTCAATTACAATATGTCGAAAATTGATGATAAGTTTGATGCATTTTTAAAAATCGACATTCCCATGTAAACCAAGAGAAATGGTGGGTTCGGGGTAAATTAGAAATCAGGATATCTATTCATTAAACATTCAAAAAAAGAATTTATATACAAAATTGAGTTGTCTTACTTTTTGTACACTAAGTGTTTAATTTACTTGATGAATACTAAAGTTACAGAGCTTCAAAGTCATTTTTGAAAATCATTTTTCGCCTCCTGTGTTATTTCAATGGGAGACGTTTTTTGGAAAACATTTTTTTGACTTTAAAGACCTATCGCTTTGTTGAACCTGAAGAAACGTATCAATTTTTTTAAAGAAAGTTAGCAAATTCAATTGCCTACCCAACTTGTATCTTTTGCATGGACTCTGATGGTTGGATCTTCTCTCATATGACTTGCGGCAAACATACCAGTTCCCATTGGTTAACATGGGAATGTAGATTTTCACAAATTCATCAAATCTATAATCAATTTTCGACCTATTGTAACTGAGGAAAAAAGTTCAGTGGGGATATAGTGAAGCCCTCCGTCCGTCAGTCAGTCCACCAGTCAGCCCATCGTCGGTCTTATGTAGAATTTTGCAATTATTTTCAGATTCCTTCAAAGTAAACATTAAGGGTGGCTTATAAATATATTTACTATCAGCTTCAATGACATAACCTCTAAAAGGGGCTAGAGGGGTGGAGGGCCATTCCTGGTTGCCCGTTCGCAGTATTTTTGAGTTTTTTGCTACAACCCCTTGATATTTAAGAGTGACATATTGATTGATACAAGATGGAATATTGAGCAGCTTAAACGATTACAAAACTAGGTACTTCAAACTATTTGTTTTTTTGCCGGATGTATACTATACTTGACACCGATCATATTATAAAATATGTCAGTTTGACACAGTAACCTGTTTCGTAATCTTGTCATGATGTATAAAAGTGAAGATTTACGCCCATTCTCGCATTCTCTGTTGGACAGCTCACCGGTGATCGACAATGCAGACTTTAGTGATGATCGTTTTGATGTTAAGGATCTCCCAAGCGCAGACTGACTGGCCACAGATAAAAGAAAAAATCGATACATTAGTAAATGAACTCCTTGAATGCAAGGGATTGATCGGGATGAATCTGGCAATTGTCAAAGACGGCGAAACTCAGTACACGACAGGCTACGGCTACGCAGACTTGGAAAATCAGGTTCCTAATGATGGCGAGACGATACATCAGATTCAATCCATCAGCAAGTCGATAGCTGTGACGCTATTTGCCACGGTGATAGAAGAGACAGGGTAAGAAGAAAGCTTTGCAAAAATACTCATGGAACCTGTTTTACACCTTTTTTGAATCTCGGGGCAGGCGCTCTAGGGATAAAAGTGCAGGAAAAAATATATGAGGAACAATGCATGTTTACTTAATTCCAACAGTGGATGTAATGATAACACAAACATTGCTGACACTCATTACATTCTGTAATTTTTGAGTTTAATTACAATTTATTCAAGGAATAAAGACCGAAATCGCGTAGCAATTGGCAATGGCCAGAATAAAATTTGAGGTAATATATTTGACATAAATCATGAAATCGAGTTCGTTGGTACCATTCTAATATAATAAACAGGCAAGAAACAAACTATTTGCATTTAAGCATTTTAGCGGTCATACATGCTCCAATATACACCACTAAAGCAATTATTGTGACGTCACGTATCATATTAAAATTTGATTTATTTTGACATTTACGCATGGAAACGCATGAAAACAAATGAAAAATATGATGTCATTTTTTGATTAAACAATACATGACCTATGCATATTCAAATTAAATTAACAATTTGCGGTAATGAAAACATCATTGTACAGAAGTATAATGCAAGTATTTCATTTTATAATTATTTAAAGTTGTTAAAACAAACTTTTGAAATTCGTCCAAATGTAAAATAGTGCCTGATCACTTCTTAATCAGACGACCAAAGCAAATGTTTATGGAATAACGATTGGGTGTTCTGAATTACTAGTTTGGTATGGCTCGGGGGAGGGGGCAGCGGTATTCTGTGGTACATCTTGAATATACCAAAAGTTTAAATAGAGATAATTAAAAAAAACATTGATGTGTTCAGAGTTTTCCTAGGTGGCATTTTATTGCTATATTCATATAAATAATTCTTCATTTTCCTGTTTGAAAAAGAATGATACGATATGAAATTAAAGTCATTTATTCACGGCTTGCGTTTTAGGATAACCCTGTATATTTGATATCGAAATGATAAACAATAAGAGCCTTGAATATTAAAATTGTGCTATTTTATTCTTAGAATATCGTGGGAATCATTGATCACAGATCTGTTGCCGACCTTTCGATTCCAAGATGAGGTGAGAAACAAGGCGTTAAAGTTGCGAGATTTGCTCGGTCACGTAACTGGATTTCCCGAGAGGTTAAACGGGCCGTCCGGTACAAAGGAAGAGTTTATCGAGTAAGTTTGATCTTGTTATCTTCATTACGATAGTTCTGCAAATTGTTACTATCGTGTGACTTTGATTTATTTAAATAGTCAAAAATTCACAGGCTTCACTCGTGGGCTTTGTGACACGTGATCCCGGTAATGTGATCCAGATAGGGACCCCCGTTGCAAAATCCATGGAGGTGGTGTAATTTTAATCTTCATAGACATACACGATTCATTAATGAGTTTATATTATGAGTTTAAAAGGTAAAGGATCAATTAATTTGATACACATTAGTAGATTTTATATACTTTATCCTAATACTTTAAAAAATAACCACGTTTAAATCAATTGATCTTTCAACAGTTTTCAAAAGATAAGCTATTACGTCAACTCCATCGATTTGTTATAACGTCCTGTGCGTTGATCTGTAGGGTGATCCAATGCAGTGAACCAGTGATGACGTTGCGTGAAAGTTTCTGCTATGTAGACAAAAATTATTTCCTTGCTGGTGTGATACTTGAATATCTAACGGGTAAACCCTATTCACAGTTAGTGAATGAACGCATCTATGGCCCATTGAAGATGAACTCGTCATTTCCAACCTACGCTGGCATGTATGATGACTCCCTTGGCAAATGGGCCTATTCTTATTATTTAAAAGATGGGGAGGTCACTCGCAGTATAGAACCTGTACGCGATAATGACGAAATGTAAGCATATTTTTGTTTAACATTACTGCACTTAAACAAACGGTTTCATCCTGCATTATTATTAACAGCAAATTATGAAAATTTAAATTATTTCCACAATGGTGTATCATATATTACTGTAAAATGAGAAATAAACATTTCATTTTTATTTGTGTATAGGTTTTGGCCCAACCTGTATATAAATCAAATGTTTAGTTATTAGTATCATGGGCATTGGGCACTAAGTTAGCAAAAGGGTTAGTTAAGGTCCTCGGTGTATATTTTCTCTTTAGAACTGCTGCCACTTTTTGTGGACCTCCATATGGTCGACAAGACAAGAGTTTTAATATATATTACCGGCCTCATTTACAGTGAGTTAAGAGCGCCAGCATCCGGAGCTATGGCAACGGCTGAGGATATGGCGGAATATATGAAGTTCCATCTCGGGGCGTATAGAAACGATGGATCCACCAATCCAGTTGTAGACCCAGAAATATTGAGGGAAATGTACAAATCAAATCAAGCCATTAACTTTTTCACATCGTTCCTTGAGATTGACGGTCTCGAGGATTTCCCAGAAACGTGGAGAATATATGACTATGGCATGGGATTTTGGATTGGCAATTATAGAGGTGAGTAAGTAGGAAGTTTTAATATTCCTTTTCATACGTGGTTAGGTCATACCTTCCATGTTTACTGTTTAAGTATAAACATGTAATGCTATAAGAAAAATAGTTGTGATTAGATCCTTTTAGAGGAGGCAGTAACCTCATTATAATAACAGTTCACGTAAACGTTTCCTGAAAACGTGTAGTTAACCATTCCTGTTGTTTCATTTCAGACACTGATCTAATACAACACGGTGGTTACTCGAGCCAAAATACCGTTCTGACGATGTTCGAATACTGGAACATTGGCATCTATACAACGATAAATGGACCAGTTAGACTCGAGGCTCATGCTGCGATGACATTGATTCATTTTTATATTGCAGACATCCTTCGAGGCAATTCTCCTCCCTATGATATCGAATACGCTTGTGCATACTCTCTCCCTGATAAATACGGTGCATATTGCGGGCCTTTCAACATATATCCCGATTATAGCATCGACAAAGCAAAAAACTCAAGCTCTCCCATTGAAACCTACATTGGAACATATGGTAAAGGAGACGAAGAAGTCGAAATTGAAGTTGATCCTGTTACCCCTTACTTAGTGATGACGAAGGGTTGTGAAAAGTACAACCTCTATCCGAGCGGTGTGGCTAACTCCTTTGTTGCCGAATCAAAAGGGGAATGTTTTGGTTGTGCTAAAAGTGTTGTATTTTCAAGCTTATCATCGCTTGAGGGTTTCTCAAGTCTGAGTATAGATGGCGTTATTTTTCGAAACTCCAAGATAAGTTCTGAGAGAGAATGCGATTAATAATAGAAAAACACTCATGGCGATGCCCCCCCCCAACCAGAGATGACCAGGTGGAATTCCGATTTCTTTAGGGTTAGGGTTCACGATAATGGTTGGAATATGTTCGGGCATCTCCGGTCATCTTCGGTTGCGGACTAAAACTTGTTACCAGATTAATCAAAGGCATTTGTTGAGGGAAAAATGGCAGTGTAGTAAAAAGGAATTAATAGATAGACTGCCAAGGCACTTTCGTGAGCCCATTTTCGATATATCTTTGTGCTTCCTTATTGCTTTTAGTAAAACTGTATGTAATCATCTGTAAGAGCTATAAGTATATATCTAAGAATCGTCGAAAATGATCATATGTAAAATGATTGGACGCAATTGTAATTGAACAACGCAGATGCGAGTAAGTAGTTACCAGTTTCACCACCAGGTGGAGTGGCTCGTTCGGGTCAGATAGCATGGCGGGTATAGTAGAATGTTCCCTTTAACTTAAATTACATCAGTTTTAGTGGTTCAATTTTCATATAACCCTTATGTATCTAATTGTTATGTAAAGTTATGTCCAGTAAAGGAAAATGTTCTCTGTCCAATACAAGAAAATATATTTTTGTAACATGGGGTCTAATGGGAATTAACTCGAACTAAAAGTAACATTTTCAAAAAATATTAAATTTTCAAAGTTGATAAACAATTTTCGAAACCATATTTCTAGTTGTACTTTTACATGTAGATTTCAAATATGACATCACTTTGACTGAATTTGGAATATTTAATGACGTAAATCAAGATTATTTCTACTCGCATGTAGTCTATTGAAATAACATTTTGCTTGGAACTGGATTAGTAAGTGACTTAAAGGATCTGTCACCCCAAGTGTCACTATAAATTAGGTATAAATTCAATGTATGATTATGTGTTAAATTCTTAAATAATAAGGTTATGGTGTTATCTCGCTGACTCCATATTAATTTTGAAAGTAAATATAAGACAGAAGACCATGTTGTCAAGCAATTACAAGAGCAACCCATGTCTCTGCCAAAATTGCGTGTTTTTCTTTTTATAATCATCTTTGAGGTTTAAGATATATTCACATTCAATATTCTACCAATATCAAGATTAATTCATGCCTTATAGTTTAGACGCACTCTAACCTTATATTCATTGGATGCAATCAAATGTGACCTGCTTTTTATACCATGCTGTATGTGTTTTTCACTTCCTTGTGTTATGCCTATTGCTTATGTGTTTTTAAATCTAAAACTCTTATTAACTTCAAATGACTGAATTTCATTGACCTTTACATATATATTACCATTGTATCAAAAAAGTGCTGACCTAACATATCCAAATATGTAATCAACAGAGTAACCAACAAAACAATTAATATGACATCTGCAATCTGAACCTGCTCTGGGCATTATTGAAAAACCAAAGAACTGATTGTCTTTGAAAATAACTGCAACTGCGTAAAAGTGTATCCTCCCCCCACACAACAAATATGGCAACCAGACCCATAGAAAAATTAATGCATTATATCATTGTGACGCCATCTCTTTGTGCTTTAAATACTTACATATATGCATAAAACCATAAATTGAATGATTGATTGAAAAAAAACATTATGCAAATTTCAAAACCAAAATTGATGTATGCCCAGATAGAATAAAAACCATATTACCCGCCATATGAGCAAATGTCTTAAGGGTTGATGTCTTAATGCAAATGTCTCTCAGGATGGTGCTTCAATTCACTCTTGTGGTAGTCAGCGATGTAGGGATCGAAGGCGTATTGGAATAAATCATAGGCGCCTCAGGGTCACACGCGTGAATACCAGTTCCGCCATATCAACAAATGTCTTAAGGGGTGATGTCATAATGCAAATGTCTCTCAGTATGGTGCGTCACTTCTTTCTTGTGGTAGCCAGCGATGATGGGGTCAAAGGCGTATCGGAATACATCGTAGGTCTCGAGGGTCACCGGCGTGAATACCAGTCCTAGAATCAAGGTTCTCCACTCCTGATCTTATACAATCAGCAAGTGTTCCGTTCGATTTTGTCTCCGAATTCTTGTATTTGTCCCACACCGCTGGGGAGATGTAGCTCTTTAAAAGAGACGTGTAGTCCTTGGCAGCGTTCAGCTTGTCCCATAATTGATCAGCATGATACAGCCATAATTGTAGATTAAAGAATACAAATATCCTGTATATGAAAAGTGAAGCAGACGATTCCAGCTTGTAATTATCGTTAGTACAGCAAACTGTATGATAAACAGTAAATCCAAGGTTCTATCCCAGAAGGGTGTTCCAGTGTTGTCAAATGTAGTTTATTGTAGTTCTATTATTAATTGTCAATCATGGTAATTATTGATTCTGAATCCCAGATTTATATTTAATGGTTATATATATTTTTGAAATCTATACTATGCGTCTGAGGTGTTGAACCTCAGACACATAGCAGAGAACTAAAGTAGAATATATTTAGACACACTTTTAGCCACTAAAGCAATGACGTAAGCAGACAGCATGTAATACATGGAAATACACTAGCAAGAACGTGCTACACTCACCCCCCTCAAAGACAAACAAAATCCCACATATAACAATACATAGAACATTTATCCATGAAAATTAAAAAAAACAATGGCTTTCGCCGAAAAGATAGGTAATCGATATTTTAACACATATAGTGCCACCTATGGTAGATAATATGATCTTATTTATCTGGGCATACTGTTTTAATCATAATTTTATATTTTTATAACACATGAGTCATAATAGTGGCATGTCACATTAATACCACACATAAACAGCCATACTAGTAATATTTTCAAAAAAAACTTCAAAAATATTAACGAAAAGATTGCACCAAGACATTTTATTTAAAACAAAGAGTCATCTCAAATTTGTCTTAAATCTTGGTGTTATTTAGAAGGATAATTAAATCGAAACCATTGACTTACTCAAATGGAATAACCCCTTCCTTCCACTAAAAATAAATCTTACACCGACACAAGCTTCAAAACCTACAACAGTTCAAGGTTCCAAAATGAAACGCTAGTTCATCATAAATCAATTACCAAAATAATGTAACTTTAGTTCATCATAACTTACCAAAATACCAATAAACCTAATTCCTGCTTAGTGCAAAGAAGCATTTTCTTCACAATTACTTAATTTCAACAACTTCATTTCTATTATTTTCTGCTTACTTACAATCACTTATATTACATTACTTCTTTCAGTCTCGATTAAATTTTAATATCAGATGTGTTTGTATCTCAATTATTTTAATGAACTAGACAATAGCAACGCCAAAAGTGTAGCAAATCCTATCGAACTAACATAACCGCAATTTTTACAAAATCAAAATTCAAAGTTCACCATTATACCATTCAAAAATGGTCACTCACTTTTCAAAATGGCCGCCTTCTAGCCAAAGTGTTGTAAAACAATACTTGTAGCCAAAATAAAGAAAAATTTTAAAGAAAATATTGTTTCTACTCTAAGATAAACATAACATTTTTACTTCAAATTTGGTCAAATGATCCCTTGACCAAGTGATCAGTTTAGTCAAGAAAGTCATTGAATTTTATATAGTCAAGTCTAGAGCCCCACAAATGAGTGCACTACGCACCTTATATCATATACGCACTAATATCATATTTCATTCATTGCCATGGTCTTACATACTAGCCCAGGTAAAGGGTAGCACATGACGTCGTGGACTTACTTTCGGCCAGATCATCATGGCCCCAAGGGTCAGCCAGCCCCTACCATTCCGGACTTTACCTGGCTATATAATTAAAATTGTTTCGTTCTCCCTTATCTGTTTACTCTCTCCCCCACCATCATCAAGCATTCAAGTTCATTCCTCAACAAATATTTCACACACCCATAAATATTATAAAGCTCTAGACCCAAATATATCATTTTAGAAAAATTCTGTAATGTGGACACGCTAACTCGTCAGCTAGGTGCTCCAATTAAAATGATTCCTCTAAAATGTTTTGCCAAAAAGTCATATATTATCGAATAAATAGCTAGACAGGAATTCCAAAAATCTTTCAATTTCAGTTATGAGAGAGTCTTGTAAGGCCTTGACTAGGCTTTTAGACTTGAGTCCAGGTCAAAAATAAGAATAAGTTATAGTTGTTTAAAAATGAACCATATGTTCTGTATCCATGTAAAGATAATTTTCCAACATTGTTAACCTTATGGAAAATGAGGAGATGAATTAGTAGTTTGACTTTAGGTGAATGTTGATTGATGGAACATGTTAGGATATAGAAAGGATATGAACTTTGGTTATAACACTGACATCTATATATGAAACATTTTTGTTTATGTTTTTGGAATAAGGGAGTTATATTTGTTGCGAACATTTTGAATTTGGTTTTTAACAACAATTATGCCTGGATATCAATTTGAATAAACCAATGGAAACACTAATTATGACTTTTAATTGGACACTGTACTATTTGCCTATTTATTTCATAGTTATTATTATCGTATCATTAGAATATCTTTTCATTATGTTTTATATACATGTGTACTTTAACATTTCCTTTGTGCGAACACAAAGTTTTTAAAATGGACGGAGGGTAATGTTATGCCTATTGCTTATGTGTTTTTAAACAGTTTCTTCAGTCTACTAGCTGTAACTCAAGAGGCAACATCTCTAGCTAACATCTACTAATCTTGGGTTGCAGTTAGGAGATTCAAGCCTTTGAATTAGATGCTTCTTAGTGTAGAATAATAAAGGAATTTACATCAAGCTATTTTAGTTACATTATCATACCCCTAGACAAGAGAAAGGACCACATACCAACGAGAACCCCGTGAAGCGTAACACTTGTATCAAGGTGGCTTATATATTTGAATTGTTTATTGCTTCCGCAGGCCTACGCCACTCTAATTTATGCCTCAATATGAACTTTATTACAGAGGGCACAGTTTAGTGACGAAATTAGTGTGGCTGAGGCCTGCGGAAATACTGTAAAAGTGAAGTTGAACAAAAAATATAGCACATGATTAGGGTAGCCATTCTGGATGTTGACTATACTAGTGCTGCATAGATACGAAGTGTATAATGAATTTACCTATGTTATTAAAAATGACTAAAGGGCAATTGGTAGCCTATGATATGTCATAATGGTAATGGATGCTATGGTCCAAAAAATGGGGCACTCATATTTCAAAAATAAATATTGCTTTTCTTGATGAAAACATGTCATATAATATACCAGTGGATAGGGAATTTACTCATCTCATCTTTAATTTGGTATATCATAAGTTCAAATTTGTTATAATGTCTGTCAACCAGCGTCCATAATATAAATGACGTCATTTTAGTTTCAAAACGGGTTTTCCAAAAAACAAGTTTTATTGTCAACTTTATTTACATATACAGACGTTCAATGTGTCCACCATTTTGATCGATTGTAGCCCTCAATTTTGGCCTCA